CAACTACAAGATAAGCATGTGTGCGCCTATACGTCAGGACCTGGGAGGAAGTAAGGTAGGCCTCACATAGCCTTCACCTGATACCGTTTGAGGTTTCTTAGCCAGTGTTGCTTCCTTCCGCTTGTTCTTAGCTCAGCCCAATGTTCAGTGCCAGACAGGACTGAAGTTTTATTTCACAGGCTGGTTCCATGGAGATGTCGAGAACTTGGGTGCATCTTAGCTCAAAATGGATCCACATCCATCCAGATGCCCAAGCCAGAAACCCTCCATTTAGCTGTCTCTTCATCAGACACCGTATCCAATTCCTCACCAATTCTGTTGATTTCCCTTTCTATATTCGTGGAACCTATCCTCTTCTTTCTCTCTTTATTCCTCCTTTCTCTCTTTATTCCTCCTTTCTAATCCAGGCTACCTTTGCCCTCTCTCCTAGAACTGATAAAAGAGCTTCCTAACTGAACTTTCAGAATTCACAAGACTCCTCCTTAGCACCTGCCACACTACAGAGCGATATTTTCAGAATAAAGTTTGCATTTGTTCGTATCATTATTGCCACCTTATCGAGAAGACTTCCCATGTATTAAGCACCTCCTCTTAGACGAAATCCCTGGACAGGCCAATCAGTCTATCTCTGCCTATATTTCTCTTTCCATCTATATGTATTTTCTTTTTCTTTCACTTTCTTGGTTCCCATCTGAAAAGTACTTTTATTTTAAAACTCTTCATTTAAGATTGACCTTCCTGAAGCATTTCTACAAAAAAATCTTAATCCAAAGGAAACTGGGGAAGTTCATCCAAATTAACCTTCTATTTGCTTTATTTTTATTGTAGGACATTCAGTTTATGAGAAGTGGACTGAGGAAACAATAAAGTATGTTTATGTATTTCTGTAGGTGCCTTGTATAGATTCAGGGAGAGGATGGGTGCTAAAGGTCAAAACAGGTGCTGCCTGTTGGCCTGTTGGTTCTAAAAAGCTGTTAAAGGTAGAGGTATTAACTTTGATAAATAAGGTGAGACCAACGATGATTCTGTGCGATGAGTCTCATTACCAGGCCTCATCCTTTTGTGAGGGTTGAGAAACAAAGATAAACAATCTGAACATCCTAGACCAGGTTTTTATAAGTGTTAAGAAAGATAGTAGATCTTAGGGTCAAAAAAGTTTTGGGAAACAGTGGATAAGACAGGTTTCTTTATTGCCCTTAGAGCCCTTAATATTCTCATGAGTATTATGTCTTTCCAAGAAAGCCATGTACAGTTTGGTATTTTCCAAAATGAGAACACAATAATACATCTACTAACAACTTGTTTCTCAAAATATCTTGAGAACCTAGAATATCAAATGTTGCTTTAGAATCTACATCTCTTGACATCATTATTTGTTTCACTCTTTTCTGATTCCTGTGTCAGGTGTCTTTCTCTCCCCTCCCCTCTTGCTGCCCCCTTTCTCCCTTCCTCTCTCCATTCTCTTCCTTTTATCCTTTCATAGTCTTCATTATCTGTCTTATCGCTTTTGTCTCACTTTGTGCCCCCTGAGGCCTGCTCTTTCTCCTGTTCGAAATAATATGGTGTTTTGTTTACTGCTCAGTTTCATTAAGCCAACAAATATTTGATATGCCTATTCTGAGTTAAGCAATTCTCTGAGGGTGCAAAGTGAAAAGCCCCAGTCCCTGTGTGGTAATTTTTAGCAAGCCCTTCATTGCTCCCTAGACCACCTCTGCTGTGCTCATTCTTGATTGCCAACCTTTGCCTGGCTTTCTTCTGCCTTCTTTCCATCTATTTAGCCCTGACTTTGCCATCAATCTCTTTAACCCCTTCCTTTGCATGTGCCTGTTTCTAACCATCTTAGATCATTTTTATTTTCTCACTCTCTGTACTCCTGAAGTCTTCGCCTGAATCTTTCAGTTGGGCATGTGCCTTAAATTGTATAAAAGGCCTATTTACTTTTGGTCTGAAACAAAGAACAGCAGAGAGCAGATATTCCTTTCTTTCCTGTCCATTTGGTGCCCAGCACGTTGCTGAGCAAGTAGAGACACTGTTTGGGAGGGTCCTTGGCTGGGACAGCCCATTGCTTTATTGATGGGCAGGGTAGATTTGCCTGCTTTCGTTGGCCAAGGAGGAAATATTCAATGAATAAATGAATCCTTGTCTTTCAGATGAATGGCAACATTTCTTTTGTCGTAATTCCTCAAAAGCTATGGAGAGTGTAGACATGGTTTATGGGGAAATATTGAAAGTCCAGATGGACTTTTACTGAGTAGGAGAGTAGGAAACCCCATTTGTCTTCCTGGCAGATAATAAACTAGCTCAAGATTGACTCCTTAGAAAGTTGAACTTTCTGATTTAAAATTTTTCTGTGAGTCCTCCAGTATTTCTGTGCATTGATTGGTGATAATATTGATTTGAAAAAAAAAAATGAAACATTAGAGTTAGTTGGGAAAATGCTTTACCTCTTTTAAAATCAACTTCATTGAAGTATGACTTACACATAATAAAATAAAGACATTTTAAGTATGTATTATTATAATTTTGACAAATATACGCATTCACATAATTATTTTAGATTTAATTATCAAGATATAGAGACAGTACTAAGAATCAAGATATAGAGACATTACTGTCCAGTACAGTGGCCAATAACCACCTATGGCTACTTAAATTAAAATTAAATAAAATTTAAAATAGTTCCACAGTTGTACTAGCCACATTTCAAATTCCCAATAGCCACATTTAACTATTGTGTACTGTATTGAACAATGCAATTTATGAAACATTTCCATCATGTATAGCGATGAAATAAAACATATTCATCACACCAAAAAGTTCCTTTGTGCTCTTTTCCAGGTAATTTCCAACTCCCACCCTTGACTTCAGGAAATCTCTGACTATTTCTGTTACTATAAATTTGATTTGTGTTTTCTAGAGCTTCATATACATGTACTCTTTATCTACCTGACATTTCTCAGCATAATGTCTCTAAAGTTGATCCATGCATGCTGTTACATGTACAATTATTTCGCTCCTTTTTATTGGTGAATAGTTTTCCATTGCATGAATAGACTACAATTTATTTACCCACTCGCCTGCTAATGCCATTTGGGTTGTTTCCATTTGAGACTACAATGAATAAAGCAGTTTTTTTTAAATGTGGATATATATTTTTATTTTTCTTGGATAAATACCTGTGATAGAAATTGCTGGGTTATACGGTAAGTATATATTTAACTTTATAAGAGATTGCCAAACTATTTTCCAAAATGGTTGTACTATTTTATATTCCTACCAGCAATGTAAGAAATTCCAGTTGCTCTTTCCTAGCAATTATTACTATTTTTTTTTTACTTGTTCTATTAATTACTGAAAGAAATGTCTAAATTTCTAACTATAATTACAGATTTTCTGTTTCTCTTTCAGTTATATTAGTTTTTGCTTCACATATTTGCTAAAACTTTGTCTTCTTTATGAGTTGATCCTTCTATCATGAAAAGCTCTCTTTTGCCCTGTTCTGAATCCCACTTTGTCTGCTAATATAGTCACTCTGGCTTTTCTCTTTTTTTCAGTTAGAATGTGCATGGTACATCTCTTTCTATCCCTTTGATTTTAACTTATCGATATATTTTATTTAAAGTTGATATATTTTATTTAAAGGTGTCTTTTAAATAACCTATAGTTTAGTCTTGCTTTTTAAAAAAATCCAGTCTGAGAATCTCTGACTTTTAAATGGAGTGTTAAGACCATTTCAAAGAATAATTGTATGTATTTCAAATATAATTGACAAAGAATAAACAGTATGTTTTTCAAGTGTACAATTTGAGTTTTGACATGCATATACCTGTGAAACCATTACCACAATTAGGCATCGATTTAATTTTTTAAGAAACTGCCAATCAACTTTCCAAAGTGTTTATACCATTTTACATTCTCACCAGCAGTGTATGAGAGCTCCATTTGCTCCCCTGTCTTGTCAATAGTTGGCATGTCTTGTCCTTTTAATTTTAGTGATTCTATTTGGTGTATTTATGTTTACTTATTGTTCATTCATGTCTTCTTTTGTGAAGTTTCTTTTCAAAAGTTTTGCTCAGTTGAAAGAAATTTAATTGTCTTATCTTGATACATACCCTTGGCTAATGTCTGTGAAGTAAATACTTTCTTCCTGTTTGTGTCTTTTTGTTTTCTTAACTGTCTCCTTAGAAGAATAAAAGCTTTTAATTTTGATGAAGTCCAAATTAATTTTTCTTTTAGAAATGTGGGTTTGTTTGTTTTTTTTTTTGCATTCTAAGAAACCTTTGTCTACCTAAGATTACAAAGATTTTCTCTTGTTTTCTTCTAGAAGTATCAGAGTGTTAAGTTTTACATTTAGGTTTATAATCCATTTGACTTAATTTTTGTGTAGGCAGTCAGTATTCATTTTTTTTTCCATGGAGAGATCTAGTTGTTGCAGCATACTTTTTCAAAAGACTTTCCATTCCTCATTGAAGTGCCTTGACACTTTCTTTGAAAATCAATTAATGTTTATAGATATGGGCAAGTATTACATGGTATATTCAAATACTATATCTATAAATCTTGGTTAGATAGCTGAAAGAGTGGGCCAAGCATTAAAAGTAATTTATGTAATTATGAATCTCTTATTTTCATGAAATATAGCTGTCTTTTAATTATTTCTTTATGTCTATTCCAGATAAATGGAACAATTTTCTTTGATTCTAAAACCACATGAATGGTAGCATCCATATTATAGCAGAAATCATCCTATCCATCACTTAAATGTACAGGCTTTCTTATTCTAGATATTTGGGTTTGGTATCATTCAGAGTCCAGAATTTTCTTCAAATGCTCACACACTTTTTAAGTGACACAAAATGAAAAAATAAACAACTCAATTTTTCTAAAACAATCTACATTTATAGTATCGATAAATGACTTTCTATACTAGGAGTGCTAAAATAGGCCTATATTTAATTCTGTGATAAAGAGAGGAAATATGGAAAAGAAAACCCAGTGGCTATAAAAACACAGATCTAAAAAATTTAATGATTTAAAATGGCCTCTATATACAAGATGCCAAAGAGAATAATACATATTGAACATTTTGGTCTTGAAAACATGAAATGTCACCACTTAGCTTAGAACAAGTCTGTCATCGCCTAAGAAATACACACTTACAATGAAATCTACAAGGACACACTTTTAAATATCTTCAAGTGTTTTTGTTTTTTAGCAAGCCCCTTTCTCCCCACACGTTTACTTGTCATATAACAATACAGATTTTAATCATCTTTTGGAAGAGCAGAGTTTTATTGTAGTTTTGAGAATGACGATAGTGGTTGTTTTGGAAAGCACCTTCTATGATAAGTTTCACTGATGTTTTATCATACTAAGATCACACATTCTTCTCTTTAAATCCTTTCCTGTTCCAATGATTTGGTTGTTTAAAACAAACAAGCTAATTCAGTCAAAGTATATATTGCAAATAAAAATGTTTCAAATAGGCAGAATGAAACCATTAAATAAGCACTGGACTGAAAGACCACAGATAACATGCTTCTTGACTTGGTAATATGTGAATACATTTTTTCACCATGTAGGAAGTATTTTATTTGTTCTGTGATGAATCTGATGGCTTGTGGTGTGTCTGTGCTGTGCCAACACCTGGAGGGGAGTGGTGACAGACTGGGAAATGGATGCTATGATGAGCAGTAAGATGATAGTGAGCTTAATATACAGGGTTGTTGGCCAGACAGAGTTGTAAAGATTAGATGGGATCTGTACAGCTACTCTAAGTGTCAGGTTTGCCTATGCATGTTTTAAGGAGGGTGCAAGATCAAGCAATAACTTCTCATGGAGTAGGATGTGGCCTGTTGGCTCTAAAGTTCAGGTGACCAAGGAATTGGCCAGTTTCTCTCAGGTAATGGAGACAGTAGCTTCTAAGTGAATACTGAGAGTCAGAAATGCTTCTACTTACTGACAGATGGAATCATGCTTCTTTTTGTGGATTATAGTCTGATGTGTCTTTATGAATTCCTGCTTCAAATAATATGGTTTTAGCAAATCTAAAAACATCATTTGGAAAACCTCATGGCAAATCACTCGAAAATACACAACATCAAATAGCCCCAGGGAAACACATGCTCTCCTTTTATTGTGATGTCCTCTCAGTGTTGAAACAACCTAGTCCTGACTGGGGCAATGACTTCTAAAAACATGTGTCTCTCCTCTCTCTAGCACCTAAAATATCAGTGTGTGGATTTACGTACACTCTCTGAAACCTTTTCTCAAAGAGGGCTTTTTCAATCAGAAGTGAGACATTTTGCCATAATGTTCCCAAGATAGTGGAGGTGGTTTCAAAACAAGGACAAGTCATATCATGCCTTGTTATTTGGGAGGTGAACACTTGCAAATATACTAGGCTTCCCAGACTTGGAAGTGACAGGCTCAGAATAAATTGCTAGTATATGTAGAGCAATATTACAACTGTCGGGTATGTTGTCTAAAAAAAAAAAAAATAATAAAAATGCAGCATTAGGAAGTGCTTACTAAGGTGCTTCTTAATTCATGATTTTTAATGGAATGTATCAGACAAACATCTACAAACAAACATGAACACACAAGCACACTCACGTGGACAAGTTTCTGTACATTTTGTCTTAGATGCTTATGTGTGTACATAAGAACCACACAGAAAAAAAAAAAAAAAATCCCCCTCTAGCTCCCTGAACTTCTGAATGTTGTCTAACTCATAAAGTGTTAAAATATTTCATTTTCATATAAAATATCTACAAAAATAGATAGTATTTACAAAAACCAGACAGTATTTCCAGTTTTCTTTAGTAATCCACTTAGTCCCCCTTTCTTCCTTTTCTTCTCAGAACGTTGCCATCTCCAGCAAAGAGCGCTTGAACAGCTGTGCGTTCCTGGACAGATCTGTCACTTGGTGGACCATTTCTTGTAGGGCGGTAGTGCTGGGGTAATGGAGGGCGGCCGTCTTGGTCGCCATAACTATAGTCTTGAGCTGTTCACAGAGCTGGTTGCTGGAGTTCATCACTTTGTTGCGAATGTCCTGAGCAGCAACCTGCCTTGTCAGCGTATCTCCAATGAACACCAGTTTGTGTGCGCTTAGAATGACAAACTTGCTGTGCGCCACGAAGATCCGCGGGGGCTGGGCTGAACTGACGCAGCTGAAGAGAGCGTCAATGGCGTTGAGAAGGGAAATGTAATGGGTCTCACACTGGTCGTAGTAGAAGCAAAGCAACTGCCTATCCTGAGCACCCACGCTGCTGCTTGTGGTCGGGAGGCTCTGAGAGGGCTTCCACTTTGAGATGTCGTTCTCCACGGGCTTTGTAATTTCTTGTTCCAACAGCTGGAACTGACTTAACTGCAAGGAAGAAACAAAGCAGGTTTCATTAAGGGAAAGGCAGTGTGCTGTAATGGAAATTAACAAGGGTTTGGAGTTAAAAGACAGGAATTTTAATCAGTAGTAAGTGTCAGGTGCATAGTAGATGTGAGGCCTTGGTCAAGTTGCCTTGTTTTCCTAAACTGTAAAATGTCGAGATTGAGAAACATGATGTCTAAAGAACCCTCCAGCTGACTTTCTATCACTGGAAGATTGGGCTCCTCCTCTGCCCTTGGACTGGAAGGCAGGACAGGGTTTAAACTCAGCTCTGTTACCTACACCTTTATGAAAGTTAAATGAGTTAATATTTACAAAGTACTTGGAATGGTGTTTGGTATATTGTTGGCTCTGTGTAAATGTTCATTAAATGTTGAGTGGTGGCAAGAGAAAACCAAATGTAGGGATCTCTTTGTCAAGTAAATCACTGACAGTTTGCTCCTTCTGGAAGAAAACTTTGACTCTGTCCCTTCAAGACCCTTAGATAAATGACAGTCCATGACCCTTTTCTATTTATCTTACTCTTTCTGTCCAGATTTATAAATGTTATTACCCAGCACTACGGGGAAGACTAACATGTATACATATATGTGTGCTATGGAAAAGAACATCTCTAAGGAAATCTGAATGCTAATTGTGCATCATAACAGCTCCACAGAGTTGTTGAAAGAAAAGGACATTTTACAGTCAGAATCAATGATTGTTGGCTTGCTTTCTTCTCTCCTCACTGCCCCCAGCTGGTGTATTATTAAATTGCAATGATAATAACTTCCAGCTATTCTACCAAGTCTCTGGAGAGATTCTTTTGCAGGTAAGGACTATCTGTGACCTGAGTTTAGGACTCAGTTAATCTTCCATCCTGAGGTAGGGCTGAGTTAGAGGAGGGATAACCTCACTCAGCTTCTTCCTCAAGAAATACACAGAATCTGTGTTCTTCTTAGGAATTTCTATGGTTTTAACAAGTTACCTAAAGCCCTATAGTCTCGCTTGGCCAAATGCCAAACATAATAAGAGACAGGGTATTGCTTCAAGATATTTAGCTTATTATGCTTTTGTAAATATGTTCATAAATATATCATCTCATTAGATAAGAGGGTGAGGGATTTTTTCATTTTTCAGAGAACTGAAGTTCAGGGAGGTCAAGTGGCTTGCCTCAGGCTACAAGGTTGGTTTGAAAGTAAGGATTAGAACTCTGGTTTCCTGAGTGCAGTGTGCCATTTCATGTCTCTGCATGCTGTTATATTTCACCTAAAAAAAAGACTTATAAATCTCAATTCATGCCTCTTCATTTTTATGCCCTTGTGCTGGTGATATTCATCATTATCTGCTCCACTCAAGCCCCACTTTTAAATGAATCCGCTCTGCCCAAAGACCTTAGTAAATAGACTTGAATATGTTTCAGATCCTGTCCTCTCACCCTTAGGTCGAATCAAAAACAGCCAAGCCATAGGCTTATGTTATTGGGCATAGATAAATAGGTAGCTAAATAGGTAGATAGGTAGGTGGGCAGGTAGATAGATAGATAGGCAGACAGACAGACAAAAAGACATCAGACAGACAGATAGATAAATAGATAGATGATAGATGATGATAGATAGGTAGATAAATAAATGATTGATAGATAGATGATAGATAGATAGATAGATAGATAGATAGATAGATAGAGACGGCCCAATCAGACTCTTTTAAAGAAATCTGATGAACCATAAAGGAGTTGACAATCAGCTGAGCAAGCTGAAGTGAAAAGCCATCTATAAACAGGGCTTTGAGTTGCCATTTATGGGTTCTGTAAAGTTATAGGGGAGCCAATGAATAGATAAGCAGAAGAAGCTACCAGAAAATAGAGGAGAAGAAAGGAGATTTAGAGAGAATCAAAAGACATACAAGGAGAAAGAATTTACAGTCCTAGTTCTCATTAGACTTGGCTATATCTTCATTTTCTGTTCTTGAATTTCCCTCCTGTGGCCTCACTAAATAATCTGTTCGCTTGGGCTAGCTTGAATGGGTCTTGCTCCTTGAGATCAACAACCTGAACTCAAACAGTCCTAATGTGTTAGATGTACAGGCTTAGCCTGGAAAAATTGCTGTTTGGATGCAATCCAGGTATACCAGCTGGATTACTAAAACCATAAACCTTCTCTTTGTTCTTACACCCTATTATATGCCTTGGAGCTTATTTATACCAAAGTGTGCTGGAAAGATCAAAATCATGATCTTTTGAAGTTATACCTTTCTTATTAAGCAGGAAATCTTTCAATACCAAGTGGTTTTTGTTCTGACTGAACTTACCTGATGATGTTCCAGCTGCATCTTGTTCTGTTTGATGATATTTTCTTTTTCCAACAGCTCTTTCTGTTGCCTCTCAAACTCCTCTTTACCCTATTATTTTTCAACATAAAGAAAACATTACATCACCACTATGATTCACTTATGCTAACAATTTCATTGACAAATATATAAATAGTCTTTCATTTTCCACTGCCTTGGCAATTTTCCTGCATGCCCAATTAGGCTCTGTGAATCTCAGACAGGGGTGACGTGCTCCTCGGCCAGACTTCCAGAGTCACTATGTAGGTTGGGGCTGCAAACGAAAACCTTCTTCCATGGTGGGTGTCACACTCTCTGCTCCCCTTTGCCATTTTCGGAGAGCTATCCATGATCCCCTTCAAACTTCCTTAACCAGTAATATTTCTCATGGTTCTTTTCTAATATGTGAACCCATAAACCTCCTAATGTAGATAAGTCTAAATATGGTCCACACTGCATTTCTAGTTTCTTCGAATCATCTACAATTCTACAATATATTACTATTTCCCAATATGCAGAGTTGGACAACCAGTCAGGTGACTGTTTAATGCCTCCATTGACTCTCTCCCCTACCTTTCCTTAGTACCAAGTGTGGCTCAATGCTCTCTTCTCCAGTCTCTTGCACTCAAGAAAATTGTAGTTAAATCGTCTTCAGGATAATATGTGGCTCAGTCAAATGAAAAAAAAAGGTAGAATAACGTAGTAAGCCAAATTCTAAATAACGAAACTTGGTAGAAAGCTTTATCCCTAGAGTGAAAGGGCAAGCTGTCAGGATCCTAGTTTAACTTGGTGAAATTTCCACTTGTAGGAGGCACACTGTGACTGCCCAATTTCCCATATGCAGGTTAAGTTCCAGGATAATTGGCAAACACCCAGTGGTCTTCAAGGTAAGTCAGAAGTGGGGTTAAGTATTCCATAAGTAATTATAGATGTACACACACACACACACACACACACACACAGAGTAGAGCTTATGAGACCTTAGAAATTCTCTAGTACAGAGGCTTTCAAACTTTTTTCTTAACCGTGAAACTCCCCCCTCCTTTTTTTCAAATAAAATATCATGTGGAACTCTATTATAAAATGCAAAGAGAAGGTGAGCTGGTATGATTACCCAAGGGCCCACTATTCTTTTTCGGGAGTCTCTTACTGCTTGTTGGAGACATATCAACGGGATCTAATACAACCCTGTGCTTCATTCATTTTGCAAATGAAGAAATTAAGGCCCAGGGAGGTTATATAAGTTAGTCACATAATTAGTGTCAGAGAAAGATCCTGTGCCAAGGACTCTGGTCTCTCAGGCCAGTGTTCTTTCTCCTGTACATTGCTTCTAATTCGTGAACCACTTGGATTAACATTAATCCTATTCTCTCTTCTGGCAGTGCAGCCTACCAGCCTTACAGGCCTTAGTTCTGGGCTCTCTGAATGTAAGTGCTTTATGAGTCTGGTTGCTTTACCTGTAGGTGGACATAGTCATAGTCATCCATCCAGCTCTTTTCAGAGCCATCACTGCTGCTACAGTCAGGGGGCTGGTCCTTGCCTAGGCTTGAGGGCAATGGCTTGTTGAGGGTCTGGGCCTTGTGGTCCCCAGGATGCAGCAATTGCATCTGGGATCCAGCGTGTGGGTACTCAGTGGAGTTCATGATGCTCTCAGGCCCGTTCTTCACATGCGAGCTGCCGGGGCGTGGTCTGAAGAGGGCCTCTGCATTGGTGTTGATGGTTGTGGTGAGCTGTTTCACATCATCGGGCACTGTCTTTGCCACCATCACAAACCGATCAAGGTCATCACACTTGTTTTGGGGCTTATTGACTGCCAGGATATTCAGGGACCAGCTGCACTCATTTAAATCATGGCTGGTTTGGCTCAGAATCTGGTGGGAGTCTTCCACTCTTTGGAGCTCCCGTTTCATTTTGTTGTAGAGGATGACTTCCGAGAGGCAGGAAGCATTTGCTACGGCGCCCTTGGCAAAATGGAGGTAATCCCTCAGGAACAGCTCCACCTTGTCTACCGCGGTGCGTATCTCATTGATGTGTCGTTCCATGTATCCGTAACACCGCCAGTCTGTGGCGACCAGTGCCATTAGGCTGGAGACGCCCATCTCCAGAGTCTGCTGGAGCCGATGAAGTCTCTCAATGGCTGTGTCTGGATCCAGTAAGAGTCTTTTGTCCTGAGATGGGGAGGCTGACAGTGAAGAATCCTTTGAGGTGGTGGAAGATGTGGACATGTTACTCCTGGTGCTGCCGGTACTGGAGAAAGACAATCGATTGATCCCATCTACCACATCCTGAGAGCCTTTAGCATCTGTTGGGTTGTGCAGAGGGACGTCGTAAACACCGTTTCTCTCTGCAGGATTTGCTTTCTCACTGGTTTCTGCTGGCGGTTCCAGAAACTGAACCCCTCGAGGGATATCATATGCGTCATTCTGAGTGCCCATTGATGGTCCCAGCTGTGGGGATGGGTGGTTCAGGGAAATGTTTTGATGTCTTCGTGTTGCCAGTTCAGCAGCTCCTGGAGCATCACAGTTATATTTCATTTGAAGGTCCTTCCCCACAGGCTTGGTGCTAGTCGGGGGGATGTCATACACAGCCTCAGGCCTGATGTCCGGCCTTCCGGCTTGTCTCATTGGAGGCGGGAAATCATACTCTTTTTCCCTGAGCCCGGCTTCATCTCGGCAAGCAGAGGGTGGAATGGCATATACCTGAAAAGTAAGTACAAACCAAAGCTAGTGAACATGCAGAAACAACAGCCCATTATAATGAAGGCCTGGATTCTCAGTCCTGTTTGCTGGCACCTCTGTCACTTCCACCCACGAATGGGAAGTATTTCCAAGGCGCTGCTCTGTTCCCACTTCCCTCGTCCTTAATAAGTGCACTCTGCCCCTGGCTTCAGTGCTGCCTGTTATGTGTACCCTCGTGGGTGAGCTATTCTCTCTGGGTCCCAGCCCTACATTTCTGACCACCTCCCGAGTATCCTTCCTCAGTGTATCCAGACTGGGAGGCAGGTAATATGTTAATGCCCTGGACTAAGTGTCAGATGACCTGAGGTCTCTCCCTGGATCTACCAGCTATGTGATGGTCAATAAGTCACTTTAATGTTCTGAGATACACTTCTCTTATCTGTAAAACAAGGATACCTGTACTTCCTGTGTAGGCTTCCCCTGAGGGTAACAGAGTACATCAAGTACATTAACTCATGTACATGGACTGAGTAAGCTATAACGCCCTATATACATGAGATATATTAGTTGCTTGCCAAACTGAATGTTTTACCTTCTTATTGGTTTTCCTTATCAACTACCCCATTTTTTTAGTGGGGACCCCTACATATGGAATCCCTAGAGTTATCTTTAATTATTGCCTTTCTTTCTTCCCTCTTACTTTCCCTCCAATTTCTTTACTCCTTCACAAAGACTAGTTTTTCCCTTTTGGTTTTCCTTTCTTGTTTTATCCCAATTAACACACACACACACCCCTTTTTTGCTGCTATGTAGGAGCTCACTTACCCCTTTGGTAGGAGGGATGTCATAGACCCCTTGAGGATTTATCTCTCCCACTGGAACTGAAAACACAGGGCCTTTCACTGATGATGGAGGGATGTCATACACCTGAAGAGAAAGACCTGAGTTACTCGGAATAGAAATGTCTTATACTTGTCATTTTTTATATTACTAAGTTTTTAATTGCAAATTTATTTATCAACTTATGTATACCCTCTTTAAAAGCATTCTATGTAATACAGGGTTGATGAAACTTTTCTTTTTAAATTTCATATTCTTTGACTTAAATTGAATATAAAAATGATCTTAAGTGAAATATCTACACTGTCTGTACTTTAAACTTTAGTTGAAAATTACATACTTCCTGAATGATAAGCAACATATCTTTGTCAGATAAAAACCTAGGATTTCCTGATAAAGCAAATCCAGAAAATAATTTAAATAATGTTGGCTAAAATGGCTCCTAGATAGACAACCTAAATCAAGCTTTTTATGAAATATACATAATTTGTAATTCTCCTTTCCTCTGTAGCCCCTAAGGTGTGCCACCCTGAAGTGCTCCTCTTCCCTGGTGACTACAGTCCTGGTACATACCCCTTGAGTGGTATGGGAAGGAGGGATATCGTAGATGTCCTTTTGATATCTGGATGGGTACTCGTACACATAGCCGTGGCCTGTCCTTACTGGGGTTATCACCTGTGGGCAAGAAGACACAGAGGGGTAAAATTCCAAGCCTGAGTCCTAGCCTCCTCATCAGAAACTCCTCCCTCATCTCTCCCCTATAAAAAGAAAGAAAGAAAGAAAAACCCAAAAAAATAGGGATGAGAGAAAAGGAAGGAGACAAGGGGACACCAGGTCGGTAACCTTTTAAATCCCTCTTGAATCCCAACGAAGAACAAGTCCTTGAAATATCTCTATCCCCCTTCCTCGTGGTAACAAAATTATCTCAAAGTTGGTCAGATAAATGTACTTTAAGAGAGAATGACTTTTAAATTATGAATGTCCTATATCATCTCTTTGGAGCATCAAAAGCACAGCATAATGAAAAAATTTTTTTTAAGGTTCTGGAACTATTTGTAAAGTGAATAATGCAAATAGAGTTCAGCTACTTAAAATTCCTCTCATACCGTCTCCAGGACGCCTCTTCATCTGACATTATTATGATTGTAACTAAAATTCCATAGGTCACTAGGGTATTTTTATGAAGCTAATGCTCACACAGTGCTGTCCTTAGAAGCCCCCAGGAGCTTTCACTCTAACTTAGAAAACAAATAAAATACTGAGTCAGGTAACCTCCAGGAACAGAGTTCAGGTCTCTAATCATATTCCCCTTTCCGCCAGGGAAACAAACACCTCAGACAGCATCCACATCCAAAGGATATCAGAAGTCAAATACACCCATCATGACTCTGATATCTGGAACGAATGTCAATGAAAGAAATCACACCCAACAGGCTCATGTTTTCATATCTATGTACTTCATGTGTCCTAAGCTTCGGTAGAGAAATTGAACTAAAACTCATTTTGAAATATATTTAATCCTCCAAGGGTTTCTAAATTACCAGAGTCTTGTTTCTGCCTAACCTCTGGCTCCCAACGACTAACAACACCCACCTCAGTTTTGCCCAGGACGTTTCTGAGAACAGATCTTGCAAATTAGGAAGAGTCAGTTATTCCCTAACAGGCTGTCATCTTTTATCCTTTCTCTAATGTGAAAACTCTGGCGTAGGGCTGCCTACAGAACTATGTGAAAAATGCTCCTGTCTGTCTTATGCTGAAATGAGTGGACCTCAGCCAAATGCACCACTGCGCTTCTCCCTGGGGGCAGGGGGAGCGCTTTAATGCCCAAGTTCAATTTGGTTTTAAATCCCTGCTGCTTGTGGCTGATTCTTGCAATGAAGGCAAAAGAGATTAGTATGCAGTCACCATCCCATCAAATCTCTCCACTGCCTCCAGTTTAAGAAAAGAATCTATTGCTTTAAGGTTTGTTGGCACAGAGCACACAAAATTATTTTATCGAGGGGCCACTGTACCATGCACGACAAACTTTCTTTTTTAAAGCCTTCGCTCAAGAAAAACATACTGTGTTTCTAATGCCCTTATGTAATATTTTCCTCACTATTGTCTAGGGGAGAAATGAAGTACCTTCTCTTAGTCTATCTCATCAGCTCCTCTATTTATAACTCTATTTTGGCTTTATAATAGAACCTGCTCACAACGCAGCTTTTGTTCATTCTAAAAGTTTCTAAGAGTAGATTTTATCCAAGGTTGCCAAGTTAGCAATAATGTTAATGGAAAACTAAGGCTGGTTATGCTGAAGGCCAAATGAATGGCTTTATCTTTAGAATAGAAAGGGAGGGGGGTTGGGTGGTGTTGGTATCTGAAAATAAACCTTGGTGAAATGTAAACATATAGCATGACCTCAGGAAGGCAGGGTCACGGACAAGGCGTTTTCCTGGCCTTTGTGGATCTTCCTTGGCAGAGAGCATTAATGCTTCCCGGTATTTAACATCTCACTTCCTGACAAATGTCACAGAACCCCAACTTGCTCTCTCTTTCTCATTTAGAGGATGCCTGTGGTCATCTGGTTTTTAGAAACTTCGCATTCCAAACCAGTCATTTTCCTTGTTTATGCATTAAAAGAAACAGATGGTGAAAACCACAGGGGGAAAAAGCCAACAAACTACAACCTCCCCCGATTCCAGCATTCCCAATGTTACCATCTAATTCACATTGGTCCACAAATGGCATTTAAATGGGACCAGCGTTTTGCATCTGGTCAGACACATCCAGAGCACACAGCAATCCACTTTGCAATGCCTGAAAGAACACAGAGCTGGAAATCTACTTTTGGATACTCTCCACTATCCATTGCTTGGGTCACTTTTATGCCAATTGTGTGTTCTCTCCTCTGAGGAAAGTGCTGACTGTTCTGTACCTTACAGAGTATCCAGTTTTGTGGTTCATCGGGCCTTTTCTTCCTGCTTGACATAGTACACAAAAAACCTTTCTACTATCCCAGAATTACTGAACCTCAGCCTGCGAAGAACACCACGGTCTAGCTGAGGGGACATAAATTTTGGAAGAATTCTCCTGGGCGATTGCTCGGCAAGGCATTGATGGAATTGCTACACAAAGGGCATTTTAAAACTCATTTTCTCAATGAAACCAAGTCAGATTTCTCATTTCCTTTTTCCCTCCCTCAGTTCGTTTGTTGTTCTTTTCTGCATTCCTTTCATTCTGTGTATTTATTTATAGTTACAAGGCCTCAGCCTTAGGAATGACCAAACTGACCTCTTAGTTCATTAGTGTTGCCACAAAGGGGGCCAAATTGCAGGAGTCCTGGGGCTCTATGACCTACCGACTGCTACTGCAACTGCTTTTCTGATTACCCTGGAAGAAGATCTGCACTTTCCAAATGTGGGTTTTCTGTCCCAATGAGGACTCTGACTTTAGATGTTAGTACCATTCTTGTCAGTCAATGGAGGAGTCTGAAGGCTGACACTTTGAGAAGAGCTATAAAGCAGAGAAGAAGGGCTGACCGTAGACATTTAGAACAAGAGTCTATTTAATAAATCTCCAAGGCTGGGCTTTGGCAGGGTAGGATCAAAAGTCCAGAGACTGGGTTATGTTAGCTCTCTAATTAATCGGCTTGCATAAAAACAGGCAAACAGACGGCCTGCCCCGCCCCACACTTTGATGTATTTGATTTACACCATTTTGAGCCTCAGATCATGGGCAGCATGAGCTGTTTTTAGAGACACTTTAAATACTTTCACGTCTCATAATTTTGAGAGCCATGCATGCTAAAATTTTAAAGAAGAGTCTGTGTTTGGGGTAGCAGCCAGGGCTAGGAAACCCTGAAAACCAACCCGTGTGGGAGTCAGTGAGCTGGAAGAGAGGCCCCCGGGGGGTCTGTCATTCATGTTGTCTCCACTTTTGGTTTGACTGGGCTTGCCCCTGGCGCAGAGCAAGGGCCTGCTGCTTACACGCCAGTGAGGCTGAGCAGGTAGGGTGAAGGGAGAAGCAAGCTGGGGTTCTGTGTAGGGTAGACAGAACTCACACCCTACTGACAGGAGGCAGCCATTTGTCAGCTCCGTCCAACTGCCATCCTGAGAAAACATACCCTGTGTTGCCAGATCTTTCAAAGTTTCAGGAGAAGCCAAAAATCTGGATTGTTATATAAAATCTGATTTTTAAAATTGGCTCAAATATTTCAACAACATCTTGGCCAAACTAAACATGTCTCTGGCCCCCAAGATGCCGGTCTTTGCCTTCATGTGTGTATGTCTGCTCTCTTCCTTCAGGACCTTGAAAGCTACTGAGGGCAGGCCGCACGAGCTCTTCACCAATACCATGCCATGGCAAGACCGAACTACCCTGTTTTTTAATATATGACCTACCTTCATACCTCTGCACCTTTAAGCATGCTGTGTCTTTGTCTAAGATGCTCTTCTTTCTTCCCTCATATTGAAATTTTATTCGATTTTCAAGGCCAAGCCGAACGCTTCTCTCCCATGAAGCATTTCCCAGACAGAATATCTCCCTTGTGGGCATTCCCTGAGCATATTATCTATACATCTCTAATTGTACTTATCACTTGTGGTTTGACTGTTTCAGTACATCTCATCACTTAGCATTGTTGAGACAGAGACCATTTCTTCTTCATTTGTATATAGACAGCGGGGCCTAGCATATTGCCTTGAATATAGTAAGTCTTAGATAAATGTATTGATTGAATATATTAACAAAACTAAAGAAAAACTGAAGGCTTTTCTTAAGCAAGATAATGTGGAACCAGAGATGATACTAAACAAGACCTGCCTGTGTAGGATAAGGTTGGTTTCTAAGTAAGTTAGCTCTAGGTTGAGTGGGACCTATGGGATGCGGGGAAGAACTGTGTCTTATCAGCCATGCATGGTAGCATTGAGCAAGGAGGGAGCCAAAAAGCCAAGTGACTGTTAGATAAAGCTGAGAAATCAGAACCCATGGAAGAATTATCACCTGCACCACTATTTGGTGCAAACCACTATTGGAAGCTACGTAGGGCTGCTAGATGGTTTCCTTTTCCCCAATCTAGAGGCTTCGTGTGACACGAACATCTGTGTTCTTCTCAGCCAGAAGCCAGAAACATATGGGGGAGTTTTGCAAAAAGAAATCAAAACAAACTCTACTTTTTACCTTAACATCAAGAGGAAAATACAATAGAAAGGAACTAAAGAAGTCATGCTTCTTTAGTTCTGAAAAAATGTGATAGGCCCATGTCATGGGAAGCTGTATACCAGAGGCTATGGCCACATTAGGTCTTTAGCTAATTGAAAGGATTGGGTCTGATGAGCGGAGTGGTTGAGAATATTAGCAGTACTCAGGCAGAGCTGGATCTAAATCCTAGCTCTACCATGTACTCGCTGTGAGAACATGACCAAGGTATTTGTCCATACTAAGCCTGTTTCCTCATAAGTAAAATGGCAAAAATAATACTTATAGGATATTACGAGCACTAAATAAGATCAAGTACATAAAGTACTCAGCATAGTAAACCCTTAAGCCTTAGCTATTTTTATTATAATTGTTATCTAAGTTTGCTTATTTTACTTTTGTACTTAAATTGTGGACTACGTAATTTGGATCAACCATCCCACAGAAGACAGCTTAAGAAAATGAGGAAAAGATATTAAAAAATCTTTTTAATGTCA